CCCCAAAACCCCAAAACCCCATGAGGTATAATTATTTTTAAAAAAACTAAATCGTTTAAAAATAAATCATAATGAGATTACTCTCTAATAAAATAATAATATAATTACACATTATGACTTCATTGCTTATACGAGATAGAATTCCTTTCCCAGTTGAATAAACTTTGCTGAATCATTAATAAGTAATTTTTGAGTTTTAAAATAGTTAGATAGAAATACTTGAGCACATAGCTATAAGAAACTTAACTGATTTCTCCAATCTCTTAAAAAGTGAAAGAATTAATTTGAATTTCAAGATTAATAGGAATGGGATCACTCCTTTACTTGTGATATGTGCTCTTGGATAGTAACTTAGAGTTGATTTTATTCTTATTATAGTGAGGAATTTTTGAATTTTATCATCAAATATCCATCAATAGATATTCATTGCAAAGATAGATTTGGTGTTAATGGTTTTCTATTAGCTGCTTACTTCAATCATACCAGTACAATCAGCATACTGTATTTAACTAGAATTGATATATTTTGCTAAAATCTTTAAGGCAGTAACGCTCTTCACATATCTACTAAATGAAAGCACACAGAAGTGGTTGCTTAACTAGTTCACAATAAATATCCATTAAATAAGCAAAGAGATAATGGAGAAACTGCGCTGATGATATCTGTATCTTAAAAAACTGTTGGTATATCTAAAATTTTAGTTGAAGGGGGAGCAGATCCCAATATTTTGGGTAGTGATGGGATTGGATCGATTTAAATTGCTATAAATAATAATGATATGGAATCTTTAAAGACACTCTTGATTTCTCCTCTCACTCAAATTTTTTACAAGGACCCAAAAGTAGAAGAATAGAGCCCAATATTATTTGCAATTAAGAGAAATTCATTAGAAAGTTTAAAGCAATTGATCTAAATAAAGAATATAAATTTAGATGAAATGATAACATAAAAAGGTTTTTCAGTAATTCATTATGCTTTTAACTAAAAGAATGATGATCTGACAAGATTATTGATTTAAAAACAGATAAATATTGAATAAGAAGATAATTAGAAACTTACATTGTTCACAAAATATGTCCTTTAAAATAACTTTATAATGGCTTAGGAGTTATTAAGAAAAGGTGCCAATGCTAATTTTTAAAATTCACAAGGCAATACTACTTTACATTTGGCTTTAATGTAAAGGAATATACCTGCAATAGAATGGCTAATAAAAATCAAAGTTGATCCACATATAAGGAATCAAAAGAATATAAGCTGTGATGACTTAGCAAAAATGATGGATTTAGAATACGTTCCAAATTTTGAAAATAAAAACAAACCAACGAATGAAGAACGAAAAGTAAATAATAGAAATAAAGATGAAATAGGCAGTATAGATGAATTATAAAGATAAAAAAGATTAAATCTAGAAGAAGGAATTGCTTAAAAATTACTTAATAGTCTGTAAAGCCTCTAAATATAACCTGTCAAAAGAGAAGTATAGGATAATGCATTGAAGCATAAAGAAGTAACATCCTATCATTAGAATTAAGATAAAACCCAAGGAAATAAATCATTTCAAAGTAATCTTCAGCCTATTGAACTTAAGAAATTGACCATATAAGATGAAATAAAAAGATAAAATTAGTCATTTCTATAAGATCTTTGAAAACTAGATAAAGTTCCAGTTGATCGTCGAGATTTAGTTAAACGAATGAGGCATGGTATCATATTAAATAATAAAATAATAAATATTCCTAATGATGATAATAAAATATAAAGCCTCTTCAAAGACATATAATATCAAGAAAGTAAAATAATCTAAGACATGGAGTATTGAAATCAGTAAATAATAGATAAGCTATTCTAAGATAAAGATATTATTATGCCATAGGATTAAAGTAATGATAAATTTAATTGGGTCATTCCCTCGAATACATCAGCATTTTAGAGTTATCAAAGCCATAACTTACCATTAAAAAAGAAAGAATACAGATTTGAACAAATTTAAAAATATAAAAGACTTGATAGGCTAAATTAAAGTTAAGCAAAAAATATTAATGAGTAAACAATAATATAAGATCAAAGTGGTCTGGATAAATATAATAATCAGATAAATGCACAATTCAAACAAAAGCTGATAGAGACTTAGCTAAAAATAAAATAAATCAATGAAAATCCCATTACAAATGTAACATCTAGAAATTCTATAAATAATCAAATATTTAATACTCTTTCATAACCTCAGATAAGACAAAGTTCAATTGTGAATCCAATAATAAGCCAGGCTAATTTTATGAAAAGTTCAATAATGTCTGGCTTATTTATATCAGATTTAAGGACTAATTCAAGATTTAGAAAGAGTAGGAATAATTCAGTACTCGAAAAAGGTAATCCTTAATAAACTTTTGATACTTTGAGACACTCTAAATCCAAGATGGGCTCATTAGTAGATAAATTTAAGAAGTTAGATAATAATTCGAGAGATAATTTGATTACAAACTAACTTCATCAACTAAATATTCTAGATCAATTTAATAGTGATAGATTATCAAATATGTCTAGAGGCGAATCAAGGCTAAAATCATTAGATCGTTCATAGCAGGCTTTTGGCTCAATCTCTTCATTTAAAAATGGTATTAGTTTTTAAAATAGATTTAAAAATCATTGAATTTGATTGCTGTTTTGCTTGACATAAATAATCTAGAAAATATTCCCAATATCATTTTAACCCAAAAATGAAATCCCTACCTTTGAAGTTTTAGGATCTATCTCAGCAGGCTCCCCACTTTTTTCATACTCATTCATCATGTTTAAGAGAATTAATTCATGAGGTCTTCCCATCCATTAATTATAGGTGTACTCTAAAGCATCAACTGCTTTATTATTCTTTTAAGCAATCAATTTCTCGTAAATCACTGTGTTGGGACCCTTGCCTGAGGGCTACTAGTCTTTCTTAGATTCCTTCCTTACATCTTATTTAACTTTCATGTCTTTGTTTGTTTACCATTCATCTTCTTTCTTAATCACAACTAAATCAATGAATGGAGCAGGTTAATCTTTCTTTAACATATTCTTATTATTTGTTCTGCATGCCTAGTTTGCATCTTAGTCATAATCCACAAAGCAGAGACTATCATTTTAAATGGATTCTAGCTTCTTAATCAGCTATTCTAGCTTGTTGCCTTTATATAGCTTGTTAACTTAATTGAAAGTATTAGATATGCTTTGGTTAAATTAAGCTTACTTTTTAATCTTCTGAGCTCAGGTATAAACAATTTAGGTTCTCTTCTAATAACATTTATAGTCATAAATGCCTATTTCTCAAAATCAGATTCATATTCCTTGGCAGAAGGAATTCTGAGTCCTAGTTCTCGATATTTATCTTCAACTACAATGACGTGAGTCTTGCCTGATGTGCAACCCATTAAATTAAAACAAATTAAATGTTCTTTTAATAGAAATTCGAAACTTCCAAAATCTCTATCTCGGGGTTTTGGGGTTTTGGGGTTTTGGGG